CCCCCAGGTCCTTTTCGGCCAGGCAGCTTTCCAGCCACAATGCCGTGGCAGCCCCTCCGCTTCGCAGAAGGCCTGGCGGTCTGCCCCCGCAGTAGCTCGACGGGGAAGCGAAGAAATACCGGGCAAACGAAAGATGAGGAAAACGGAGATAAAATGTTTTATGCTGTCACAGGGGCTACGTAAGCTAAAAGTCCCGAAAGGTTCATGTTTTGAAAAACCGGTACAGAAATGGTGAAACCTCTAATACCAAAAAATAGCAAAGTCATGAAGTAATGTTCTTAAATGTAGACTCGTTTTAAGGCATCAGCTTGCTGGTTTGTATTTGCACACTGTCTCAATACAGTGCTGCGTGGGGCAACAGAGCATAAGCTTTTTTTTAAGAGTTCTTGGATAAAGTAATAATAGTAAATTGAATAGCTCTGTAGGCCTATTTCAGAAGTTTTGGCTATATGTGGCCAGACCTACACGGCTAACTCATAGCAGGCCCAAACTTCATGGTCAGCCTCCTAAAGATGCTGCAATAGCAATCATTTGTAGATTTTGTGTAATAATTTACTAGTCTTAAAACATTTTAATTCATCATTCATGCAAGAACCTGAAATAGAAAGTTATCTACAAATAAAAATATTGTTGTTGCTTCTATTATTGTTGCAGTTTTGCAGGAGTAAAGCTGGCATAATAGGAAAATAACATTAATGCCTGCGATTCAGGGTGACAAAAGTATATTCCTAATTTTAGGCCACACAGTAGCCTAGCATGACTGTATCTAATCAGCGGTCCTTGTGCATATAACAAAGGCAAGTAAAAAAAGTAGTAAAATAGAAAGAAATGTTTATAGAGCACAGTCTGAAAAACGCTTGTACTTAAAGAAAGGTCTGCACCGTCAAGAAATACATTGGGATTGCAGGTACGGTGCTCCACAGCACCACAACCTCCCTTGGTGTGACCCAGAGATATTATCTGAACTGGCGGGGACTCTACAAAGGTATTCATCATTAGAACATTCCTATTTCAAGCATCGTAGGGCCTACTTGAAATTATTCTTTACGAGACTGGGGATGTAATGTGGGTCTTCGTTTCTGCCTCTTGAAACATTCCTTGTGTACCATCAAGCAATTTTTGGAACATGATCCGAGTTTAACATAAAATACCTACTCGCAAACTTATTTATTGATGGGTTTGTATATATCTGGCATAAGTAGATACAATCTCTGAAGACAGAAAAAGCCATCCTGTGCAGGGACTTTCAGAAATTGAAAATTCCAGTAACTAGCTTAGTACCTGAGAATAATGTAGAAATACTTGACCGAAGAGATACTGGAATTAGAAATAATACGCCAATATTAATGAAAGCTCAGTGGAAGATCGATAAGGATGATGCACTAGCCTTTTCTGCTGGCTGCAAGCATTGAGATTAATAGCTATACTGGAATAACTCATCTATTATTACGCAGTAAGAACGTACTTCTCTCATAGTCAACCAGTACCCAGAATATAGTTGGAATAATCAAAAGATTTTGTGGTAACTAGAACAGTAGTTCCTTCTTCTGTAGCTGGTAATGGAAATGAAGTTTCACAGCCAGTCTGAGGTTTTACCAAGCCACAGTCACTGCAAGTGCATTCTTCCACTGAATATGTTAATGTTTCACTTTGAATTGAGTGTCTAATTCCTTCTGTATCCACACTGCTTTCAGTATTAGCCTTGGGAATATTACTCAGCTCCACAGAAGAGTCTGTAAATATACAGAAGTTAATTTAGTACATACATGATGCTATACCAGACATACAGTTATTAAAGATGCAAATTTCATTATGTTCCTAACCTTAGTGGAAGTTTTAAGATGTAGTTATACATTATAATCTTTCATTCTATGACAATATACCCCCTATACTTCAGGATAAGCATTTAAGTAATCTAACACATATTTTCTGATGTTATTATTTATTGGCTGAACACTCCACAAATACTAGTACTTGTAAAATGTAAAAAGAACTTTTTTCACCTTCCCAAAATATACCACATAAACTTCTCACAGGCTAGAATATTAACTAAAATTATTTAACGTCTTACAAGATGGAAAGCTAATATTGAATGTGTATCCTCTATCTGGGTAGAATTCCTTTTGCATTCAATGAGAAGAGGACGAAACCCTTTCAAAGATCTTTTGCTATTGGGGGTTCATAAATGATTTTTCAAACACCAGCAAGTAAGCCAGGTATGAATATGCAACAAAACAATCGCAACATGATCCAGAACCAACAAAGAGAGATTGCTGCTTTTACAAGTTATCATCTGGATATTTTATTCCCTAAAAACTTTAATAACTTAATTGAGACTATCTGAGGAATACAAAACAATCCAACAAAGACAGTTATCAGAATCTGGAATATAAATTAGATGCAAAATTTATACATGATAAGAGTAGCTAAAATGTACAATGATCTAAAATTATCTGATAAAGAATCTTATTTATTCACCTGTGTTTTTCAGTTTTTCTTTTAGTTGCTTTAGGTGCTTCCATTTAAACAAGACCATTAAAGTAAACAGAGTGAGCATTAAAATTACTCCTAAGCCCAAACAAATCCAAAGAACTCCATTTGAATCAGTACCTTATAAAATAAAAGAAATGCATTAAATTGTAAACAATAACCAATGAACAGCAAACATGTCCAACACATAAAACTTCTATATCAAAGGAGCAATTTCTATTTCTATTGAGTGACAGCTCAAGTGAAGCTTGAGTGTTTCAAAAATTCATTCTTCTTAACACACATACAGGACATACTGCATACATGTTTAATATTTTTAGCCCATATATTATTCTGATAAACTCTTTCCAGGTTTTAGATTTTTTGAAGTTTTTGTGTTTACAATTCTATGTAAAATACAACATGAAAATGCCCAGCATAGCCACGAAGTATTGCAGAAATATTACTTACTCTTATCACAGTAGTTTTCACATGAAGGTGGTGTACTAGAACATCGAAGATGACAAGGCTTACAGGAGAGCAGCAAATTATCAAAGTATTCATTTTTGGGGCAGTGTGCCATCAGGGTCAGTAACTATGGAACTGGAAAGCCACAGAAATTGTGAAAGAGTGAGGATCATCTACAAAGGGCTTTTCAGTTCTCAGTTTTAGCAAATCTAAGAACAGCTAGCAATAATAGTTAGACTTCAATCACCACTCCACTACATAGTATCATGTTAAATAAAAAAGATTTAACTCTGAGGCCCCCAAGGAATTACTGTTCCTTTTTTGGCAATTCACAATTGTAGAAAGACTGAACAGCACTAAGATAATTTTCAATGTAAATTTCGTCTGAAACAGAAAATCGTTATTTATAGAAGACATTTCTTGAACAGGTGCTAAACGTTACAACTGTAGAAAAGCAAGATGATCTCCAAACAGGAGTTCATAGAATCATACATAGAATGCCTTGGGTTGGAAGGGACCTTTAGAGGTCATCCAGCCCAACCCCCCTGCAGTGACAGGGACAGCTTTCACTAGATCAGGGTGCTCAGAGCCCCATCCAACCTGACCTTGAATGTTTCTAGGGATGGGGCCTCCACTGCCTCTCTGGGCAACCTGTTCCAGTGCTTCAATAATCATGAGTTCATAATCGTCGTTGTGTTTAGAAGTTTGTGGGTTTTTTCATGGTAATGGGTCACAGTAATTATGTTTTCCTGTAATATGCAAACTATGCAATGCTTACTTTTTGTTCTTTTTGTCCCAGTCCAAGGAGCATAAGATGAAAAAAATAGAGGCAGGAGGCATAGCAGTAAGGAGATACAACCAGCTCAGTTTCTAGGTTTGCCACTGACTCATTCTGCAACTTCAAACAACTTCCTTTGTACCTGTTTCCCTGGATAGACAATAATATTTAGAACACATAGATGATGAACAAAATACTGCTTGTAAATTAATGGTTTTCTGATTTTAAATGAGATACTGTTAAAGTACAAGTTCAACAATTACTTCATAATTGTGTTGTACAAAATACATCTAAGACCTTCAGTTATAAGGGAAAGACAAAATCTAGAGATTCAGTCACTGGGATACTGCTCCTCAATTCCAAATTATCCTCATTTATCTAGTCTATTAGGGTCAGCTTTTTTGCTTGGTTCATCTTTGGGGTTCTAGCTGGTTTTTTGCTTATAACCATAGTTATATGAGAAATTTAATAAGATTACATTCTAATTGTGAAAGAAGATCTATATGAATATTTAACAATTTTGATTCAAAACATTATCTGCATTTTTTTCCCTTATTTTTCCATAATGCAGAACTGTCACTGCACTAAAACTGCAGTACCCAGCATGGAAAAATAGGTCAGCCATAGATTTCATGCTTGTGGTAGAGTGGATACGACACCTCCTTCCCAGGCAGGTGATGGGGCACACTGAGCATGCATGGATTTAACTGTGTATATGCAGTGAGTGTAACATTTCTGAAAACGCATTTGGTCTTCTCCCAGGAATAAAATTTTGATAACAGACTGCCACAAAGAAAATAATTTACACAGCTTACTTGTGTCTTGACTTTTTAATCTAATAGAATTTATTTTAAATACCAAGTTAACCAGGAATACCTAGCAAGTTACAATAACTGCCTCTATCCAGTATCACTGCCACAGATAGATTAGAATTAGGGGCTTGTTTGTAGTTAAATTTCTCCTTGACATAATTAAGTTAATTGCCTTTTTGACTACAGAAAGAGAAAAGAAAAATACTGTATAAAGAATTGTAATTTCATACCATATTACCATGTATGAGACTTACCTTCCCACAAAATGCACCGTGTGGGAATACAGAAACCGTTTTTAGTGGAATAGTCTAACAAAGCAATCTGTATTGTAGTCTCTAGCAGATGAAACTGCTTACTGTGGCTTCTGCACTTGTTTCTATAGGCCAGATGCACAGCTGTAGGCTCTCTGTTATGGGCTTTTCTCCCTATTCAAGATAGTGGATAAACAGGAATTGACAAAATCTGATTTAGGCATGACAAAAGAAAATATGGATACAGACCGTGGGTGATGCCAAACATTTCACCAGGAAGTCAATGCTAGTGCTGAAGTCATAAAACTGGTTCTGACTTGCTTCATACATTTACACTCGAGGGGAAGAAACCTAGCTTATCACTAGAATATCACTCCTATTTCTGATGAAGCACCATTGGTAGCTTATGCATAGAGTGATTTGGGTTTTGCTTTTAAGATGCTGTTTAACCTTTTCAATCATGGAGAGAACAATCACATTCTCAACTGTGATCTGAAGAAGGCTGATGTTCGTGAAAGTATCTTCATGGTATCCACAGGTACAATAAGTGAATTTCAGGACAGACAGGCTGGGTCCAATGCTTTAATCTTTTATCAATATAATTCCATTGACTTCAGTGAAATGCTCTCTAATTTTACTTAAACAGAATACTTTCCTGTGCCACAACTTCCCATTGTTCTTGCATTTTTATATTTATATCTGTTGTGATTTAACCTGGCAGGCAGCTAAACACCACACAGCTGTTCACTCACTCTCCCCCACCCCAGTGGGATGGGGGAAGAGAATCAGGAAAAAAAAAAAAAAATTTGTGGGTTGAGATAAAGGCAGTTTAACAGGAAGGGAAAATAATAATAATATACAAAGCAAGTGATGCACAATGCAATTGCTCACCACCCACTGACTGATACCCAGCCAGTTCCCAAGCAGCAATCGCTGCCCCCCAGCCAACTCCCCCCAGTTTATATACTGAGCATGATGTCACATGGTATGGAATAGCCCTTTGGACAGTTTGGATCAACTATTCTGGCTATGCCCCCTCCCAGTTTCTTGTGCACCTGGCAGAGCATGGGAAGCTGAAAAAGTCCTTGACTAGAGTAAGCACTACTTAGCAACAACTAAAAGAGCAGTGTGTTATCAAGGTTATTCTCCTACTAAATCCAAAACACAGCACTATGCCAGCTACTAGGAAGAAAATTAACTCTATCCCAGCCAAAACCAGGACAATATCTATAACTTGTACTAAGACCCCTTATTATTTTAGAAAGGAACCAGCTGACTAATTCTATAATTGTTTTCTGCAGCTGGTTCCAACACTACATATCTGCAGGACAGATACAGTCTACTGTAGTAAAATTCCTTATGAAATTGACAGCTCTCAAATTCCAAAAATTTCAAACTATATCACACCTGCTGAGTGCTTCTAACATTATTTTAGTAGTCTAGGGAAATCACGTGTGCACTGTAACAGATGAATGAACTAGTTCCTTAATCAGTTTCACCCTTTTTTTCCCAGTTGTATTAGGGGTGTGGGTGAGGACTGCCTTTGTTTCAGCTGCTTTTATTACAGTTTTCTCACTTCATTTTTTTTTATGTACAATAATGACACTGCAAGGGGGGGTTTATTTTGACTTTTGACTGAATTGTGTAGGTATATTTATTTCAAACACTAGCTTTCTTCAACAAAGTAGTTTTGCTAAGTAGGTAGATTGATAGCATTTTCATATTAATTCACAGCTTCACAAAGAAGAGAAAGAAGTTCAGACTAACAGTGGTGAGTATTTTTGCTGGGAGATAGCAAAATGCTGTTGTTAAATAGCATGTAGAAGTCCCCAATAGGCAACACAGATACTACTAAGCTTGAACAATGATAATTGATAAACTCCTTCAAGTTCAGTGTTGTTACCATGAAGAAAGAAACCTTGAAATGCTTGCTAGTGATAGGTTCTGTTAAACAGAACACCTTTATGTGCCACTTCAGGTCTTCTTCAGAATTTTCTTTGATGGAAGAGGGATTCTACTGAGATGTTTCTGTGACTTCTCCCATATGCACCCACATTCTGTATCACTGACCAAAGAATAAAAAACAATGCTTAGCACTCCAGAAGTCAATGCATGTAGATCCTTTTTAAAAAGCAGGCCTAAGACAAAAATGCATACAGATACTTACAAGGTATCTTCAAAAGGTATTGGCTGAAAGAGGTAGCTTGCTTTGGAAAATGTTTGCTGCATATCTGCATGGGTAATACTTATCTACTTCACAGGAACAGTATAAAGTAATCTCATTAATATTTGCTAAGTGCTTTCAATGAAATTTATTAAACCCATGAAAAGTATGAGTTCACAGAATACCAGGTTGGAAGGGACCTCAAGGATCACCTGGTCCAACCTTTCTTGGCAAAAGCACTGTCTAGACAAGATGGCCCAGCACCCTGTCTAGCCAAATCTTAAAAGTGTCCAGTGTTGGGGAATCCACAACTTCCCTGGGGAGATTATTCCAGTGGCTGATTGTTCTCATTGTGAAAAATTTTCCTCCTGTGTCCAACTGGAATCTCCCCAGGAGTAACTTGTACCCATTACCCCTTGTCTTTTCCATGTGACTCCTTGTAAAAAGGGAGTCTCCATCTTCTTTGTAGCCACCCTTTAAATACTGGAACATGGTGATAAGGTCTCCTGTGAGCCTTCTTTTCTCAAGGGTGAACAAACCCAGTTGTCTCAGCCTTTCCTAATATGGCAGGCTTCACAGTCCTTTGATCACCTTTTTGGCCCTTCTCTGGACCCTCTCCAGCCTATCCACGTCTTTTTTACATAGCAAGGACCAAAACTGAACACAGTATTCCAGGTGTGGCCTGACACTCGCTGAGTAGAGTGGGATAATGACTTCTTTATCTCTGCTGGTGATGCCTTTGTTGATGCAACCTAGCATCCTGTTGGCTTGCTTTGCCACAGCAGCACACTGTTACTCATACTGGGGTCATTGTCCACCAGAACCCCCAGGTCCCTTTCCACAGAGCCGCTCCCCAGCTAGGTGGATCCCAGCCTGTGCTGCACTCCTGGATTATATTTTCCCAGGTGCAAGACCTTACATTTGTCTTTGTTGAACTTCGTTATGCACTCCTGCTCTACTTATTACTGTAATGTATCCTACAATTGATACGTGTTTGATATGATGTGGCGCCATTCATAAGAACTGTGAAGAATGGGCTTAAAGAGAGAAATGTTGATGTAAAAGCAACAAAAGAAGTAATAAGATATGCCTAGAATGGGTATACACACT